CATACGAAAGTGGGCGTAAAGCCAAAATGCCGAACTTTTGGCAATTAGTACCTTTTTTATTGGTCGACCAATTTGGTGTTGAACACTTTGCACGACGAGGAATTATGTTTTACCCGAAAAATGTGTTTGGCGCGACTGTCGTGTACAAGATTCTGTACAAAGAATGATTTTTTAAAAAAGACTTTCATCATAATGCTGACATATATATAGCGTTTATTCGTAAGCATTAATAGGGAGAGGTTCAGAGTTTGTATATTCATCCATGACTAATTAAGACCCTTATAATTACTTTTAAAGAGAATTCGTATATCAAATTAATAATTTCAATATTGTTTCCTTAGCCTCAAGCATTATTCTACTCGGAACTTTTACTTCGGAGTAATTTCGATTCATGGAATTCATCTCAGGAGATGGCATTTTTCCATATCGGAAAGAGAAGACAACTTTTTTGTACTGTCGACGTTTCGGGCCCCCCCGTTTTTCTCCTTGTTTCATTGCTAATCCTTTCTATATATACTGTTTCTAAAGTTTAATCTTTACGCCGATTGTCATTGACAAACATGTTTGCGAATTCAGCCCAGGTAAATGTCTTTTTTCTGATTTGCGAAATAAATGATACTTGCCAGTAATTCTGAACTAGTCTTTTGTTCATTAACAAAGACTCTGATTTATCGGTAATAAAGTCGGCGGTATTTATCTTTCTCGAATAATAGCCCGAGGCGGATAAAGTATATACTAAATTCCTCTTAGTCTAGACTATAAATATTTCAATTATACCAAATGAGCATTAATTACTGCCTCAAACGTCTCTGACGAATAATAGCATTTGGGGATAATACCTTATTTATTCCATTAAGATCTTTCAATTATAAATGGAATGATATTGCTACCAAAAGTAAAAGTAGGCTTATTATTATCGGAATAATAACAAAAACGCGTCAATTTATTTGCAATACAATGCAGATAGTGAACATCATGTGACCCCTTTATAACCAAGAATTTTTCGGTTTTTATTATTGCGAATTACCAGCCAAATACAATACCAATACTGTAAGTAACTTTTACTTAATATGCTAATAATATCATGTTGTTAATTATACTGGTTGCCCGTCAATGATGTTACTTTACAATAAAAAAGTTGTGACTGCCTTCAGAAAAAGTTCTAAGTAAAGCCCATGGCATAAATGGGTCATGTAAAAATGGTTAGTGCTGCGGTAGTTTTAAATGTGAATGAACCAAATATTACCGGATTCTACAAGACTATTTGCCATAAACCTCTTGGTAAGTGAAAAAGAATTCGGTCTATCTACAGTAATTCAAAGATTGCGTATCGAGAATAGAAATTATGGATTTCTATGTTTCTTTAATAGATATGCGTACATTTCAGGCTGAATTTTAATCATTCATTCAACAAAAAGTCTGCGTTGTGTCCCAAATGCTATTAGCAGGCTTAACAGGCAAAAAAGAAAAGATCCGATCACTTATTCTTATCCAACCGTCCCGATTGTCTCTATGCCTCAGAGTTGGCTAAACGTTACAAGCTGTTATATACCACATACGTCAGTCTAAATCGTTATTCTTTTTTGATATTGCGTTACGAATTGAATCTTCATGTTTGATTAACAAAGTTCAAAATGGTCTCACGTCTGGAAAACACAGAGGAAACCAGTAGTATTAATTCTATTGTGTTGATAGACATGAGGTTAATGTGTATCGGAATAAGTTCAAGTGCCAGCAATGAAGTTGATCCTTCATATATACTGCACTTGCTTATTCTGGAGTCGGAATAAGTTCAAGTACCAGCAATGAAGTTGATCCTTCATATATACTTGCTTATTCTGGAGTCGGAATAAGTTCAAGTACCAGCAATGAAGTTGATCCTCCATATATGCTCGCTTATTCTGGAATCTCCCATGTGATCACGAGAAAGTCAATTGCCAATTATTAGTATCGCATGGTCAGCAATCCTTATGTAGTGAAAAACAGATTACAACTGGAGAGCCAAAAAGAATACTTGTTTACCATGAAATCCTATTCTATTTATCTGATTTCAAGTGAATGCCAACCTTTTGCAGAATAAACAGCTCTTCCTGGTTTTTTGTTAATATCGAGTCTTTACAATTGTCGACAGCAATTCCGCCGCCGGTTAATATCAACTAATCCAGATTCTTACATATTGATCGAAAATCTTATGTGTGCTATAGAGATTTTCAGTGAATAGATTGTATTGCTTTGAAGTATGACTTTGGACTATTTGCAATATTTAATAACAATTTCCCAGATGTCTATAACTAAGTTTAATTTATTCTTAAAACTTTGTGTCCGATTATTGTTTTTGTATAATGTATTCTGGTCTTTTTCTCCATTAATGTTCGCACTTTATGTCTCAAGCAGAAAGGGCTGGCAGCCAATATCGGTTTACTAGTGTATTATCAACTGCATGATTTCTGTTTAAATAAAAGTCCAAACATATAGAAGCAAAGGTTCACTAAAACTAATAATGTTAACGTTTCTTTTAATAGAGAATTACAACTTTGCAGTTCGGGCATTGCTATAAACTGAATATAATTAATTTAAGAAATTTAATTTGCTGAAACCTTTTTTTATTCCGTGAATTCTCTTTTTTTATACTAGAAGTAAGCTTGTTAATGGAGTTTTTTTCAAACTCAAGGAATGGAACAAAGTTCAGCAAAAATTAGCAGAAGGAACAGGCTCACGTGAATAAATCTAAAAATAATAATTTAAGAAATAGTTGCTTATGAAATCAATCTAGTTCTTATTTATTATCACTATTATGTCTTAGTAAAGTTAATTAGTTTTCGGTTTATTATACAACAAAACGAAACAATAGAGTTATATTCGCTTCAAGAATTTAATTTATTATGCATAAAACACAAACAATACTAAATTTCTCATGCAAAATGCCATTAAAAATGTACACCTTCCTGCAAAAAGTATACATGTACGAGTATTCGAAATTTGACTTTCAAATCCAATTTGTTCGAATGCTCATAGTAAACGTGTGAACTATATCTTTAACTCCTTAACAAACACTCTTTTTAATAGCACAACCAAAATCAGCGGCCCTAACCATACCATCACCCCTTCAACGGTTGGTGCTAAGCAGCCTTGCAAATATTGTTCACAAGGTTGTCTCCAGACTATCTTATGTCCATCACTTTCGAATACTCAAGTTCTTGCACCATTCTATCCGTTTTCTTTATTCGTATCCGCTCACTAACGGTTTCCTTTTTGCAACTCTACTGTAGAAGCAGAGTACGCTGTACTGTTTTTTTGCTTACCACTCTTCGGTTAGCTGGTCGAGTGTTATGCTTTTGTTCTTATTCGTTATTGTCCTTATTGGTTAATAGCACCCGAACAGCTCCCTTTGAACATTCAACAATAGCCTCTTCCTCAAGTGCAAACCTATCATCTTTCCCAGATAATTCTAAACTCCGTGGCCTTTTTTCAGAACTGTTTTTTTATTCACAGAGTCTAATAACTGATACGTGTGAAGCGTAGAATTTGCTGCACAAAAAAGACTTGTTTGAATAAAAACTTAAAAGTTTTAACTTCAGTGTAAATACGATTCATAGGATTACGTACGTGAGATTTTACCCCTTTCACGCGCGATGGGAGTGCCTAAAGTTTACGGATGCCTTATATAGGAAAGTACAACCACTTAGCTTCAGAGTGATATATTTGCACAATATGGAGTATTGATGTCTTGAAAAATCAACATTTTACATGTTCTATGGTAAAGTCTTTTATACTCTAGCTACACCAGCCTCATGCAGCGCATATATCGATGTTTTTATTAAACGTCGACTCCGTAACACAGACGGACGGAAAAGCTAAAGACATTTTCAGTGATGATGTGCGCTCAATAGAAGATCTACCGACGCCAAAATACTTTACTATGCAAACTTTTTCACTGTTTCAATTGTTCTTTATGACAATGAAGCGCATAAAAAAGGCTAAGCTGTTTTACTATATCGGGCTAATTGTATTTGCATACAAAGAAAGAAAAAAATGCCGCAAACTGATTCGTGGTTGGAAGAATTTTTCACTCAAACACTTGTTATTATTGGACACTCTTTTGGTTATATATAACTAAAACATGGTTAAAAAAAAAAGACGACAGCTTGTATCAACAAACTCTATTTACGAGACCAACCTCGATGTAAAGATAAATATGGCTGACATAAGCGTTGAGGAAAAGAAAGAAACGTTCAATGATTTTTTACAAATAAATTGCTGTTTGAACGTTAGTATTAGTGTTGGAGAAAAACAACAGGGGTGAAGAATTGAACCAATTTGTAGTGGCGCATTTCACCATTTTTGGTGGTAAACGTAAAATGGCTGTACTGCTTCGTAATCACTGTTTACGATATAATGGCGGTACGAGCTTAACCTTTTCTGGCAGTCAAGATGGGACTTAATGGCTATATTATTATTCACGTGCTGCCGGATTGTAAGTGTGATGCCTAATTACGACAATCTATTGGTCCCTGATCATTTGATCTCTCTTTACGTTATCGCTAATAAGAAGTTAATAAGCCTATGCTTACTTATTATTATTAATCAATTAGCATTGAAATAGAACAATGAATATCAATAGTTAATAATTTGTAAAAACATGTTAAGTTTGTAACCGCATAAGCTTTTCATCAAAAACTCAATACACAGACAGCATCACATCTCTCTATTCACATCCCCCCTGTCAGTTTAAAAATAACTATATAAATCCAAACAATTGTGTTTCTCCCATATTACGTTGACACACTCTCTTTCTCCCCTCCCTTTCCACATTACACTTGCTCCATTTACAACTTCCGCCCTAACCTTCACAGCCATAAATACGCACGCAACTAGCCCGCTATTCCAGAACCCCCATCTAAAGAATACGGGATAGCGCTAAAGCATTTCTCAAAACATTAATCGGTGAACGAAACTATCCCTCCCAACGCCAAACCCTACTTCTCGCAGAAATAATAGTGATGAGCGACAACTCACCATGCTTCCCGCTAGCAAGAGCTAACTTCCTTCAGCCAAACCCTTACCCCTGTCACACGACTGCAATATGGCCTACAAAAACAACAGAAGGGAACTTGCCACAAGTCGCTCAGAGAGCAGCCATGAGGACATCGTACGCTGTGAATTCCGAAAAAGGTATGAGCTCGAAAAAAAAAAAAAAAGAGAGCGAGAGAGAGAAAGAGAGCGTAGTGCCTAGAGTAAGATATGCAAATAACGGTGATGGCAAAAAGCTAAATGAAACTTCATTAAGGAGGAAAAAAAAAGAGAGAGAGAAAGGAAGGGAGAGACTACTATTATACACGTTGTCTAACAACCAATGGTTGATACAACTACCTCCACTTGTTTCCTTCCTGTTCCACAGTCGCAGGCACAAAGCGAAAGAACATGGACGACGATGAATTCATGGCTGATTCACGCAGTCCTCCAGACTCACCCCGACAGCATGATGTCGATCGAGCAAACTCGATGAAAAGAGTCAGAACAGGCAAAGATAAGGAATTTCCAATGAACAGGTTACTGGGTGAGTGATCAAGAGATGTGAAAAGGGAAAAGTGGAGAATAATTGAGAATTAGAGAAAGTGACAGCATGTATAGGAAGAAAGTGGGTTGCGGTGAATGGCTTTCACTGATTTTGCATTATTTTGTTTTCAATCTATTAATGGCATCTTGGCGCTTTTGCAGCAACACTTGACAAATCACAAATACTAGCAGTTATACATAATCTACTCGATGCGCATCCAAATCTGCAATCCGAAGTTGCGTCTTTCATCCCACCACCCACGGTTTTGTCGGCCGAATCAGCACTCAAACAACTCGAAAAGCGTCTACACGAAAGCTTTCCCTATACTCGTTGGGGTCCATCAAAAGACGACTACAGTTTCAATAGAATAAGACCGCATTTGTTGGATTTGAAGGAAGTCATATTGGACTACGCGGCGCACTTTGCATCGCCTAATGAGTTTCCCACTAATACGTTTTCATATTTGAATTTGGCGATTGGGTTTGTGCATAGACTGCCATCGTGGGAAAACGAAAAGAATAATGAGGCGAAGAAAGAGTTGTATGAGAAATTAGGAGCCTATTGGCGAAAGTGCATTGCAGATGCGGCGAGTAAGTTAGATGAAGGAAAGTTTTATACACAGGCTGTTGTTGAAGAGTGGGCGAAAAAGTGAGTACTTTTTATCTGTTGACTGTGGCGATAACAAGGGTGATATTATGGATGCCGAGAAAGATGGCAGTTCCAAGCGTAAAAAGACAAATTAAGATTAATGACTATGTCTTTACAACCTCTTGCAATATCTAACAATCACGTTGCTGACCGAGACTTTTCTTTTATATTGTTTTAATATAATAGCCTTGCCCAACATAATCACGATTCTAACGGAGCTCTGAATCAGGCGGTCAATGATTTTGTTCATAAGCTTGGCTGGATTATTGACAATAATAAGTTTCCTTCTTCTTCCTATTCATCTTCTTCACCCTTACCATCTTTTCCATTTACATCCTCGGTTTCTTGAGATAATATGCTAATTAGTATATAATGAGTCGGCAATATAGAGAAAATTAAAGCCAGCTGGGAGATGATGTATATTATTGTTGTTTATATGGTTTTCTATACTCTTTTGGGAGGGTGATTTAGACTAGGATGGACTTGAATAATAGGTTTTGTATGACTTGAATAAAGCATCGATCGGTGCTGATAGCATAATTGAAAAGTAAAACGATATAATAACAAGAGAAGTAAATCCTAACTCTAGGAAAAAGTGGACGATACATGATGCCGAGAACGCTAGTGGCTGTAGATATTACAAGATTATTGGAATGAGTAATATAAAGGATGTCAAGGGTTGCTCTTACTATTACTATTAGACAATTACTTGCCGTGACTATATTCTCATAATACCGTATACACGGCATTCGCATAATTATTGTTAGAAGAGCGATCGCATTGATGAAGTGATGGTTTCTGCAAAATTGAACGTTTGTTCTTATAGTTATCGAGTAAAAGATTTTATTCAAGTCTGATGCTGACTTTTCGAGCATGTTGCTGCTCTGCTCGTTGTCAGGTGAATAATAATATTGTCGGCATTGCCGGGATAACCAAATTGTTATTCCCCGCATATACTATGCGATATGCAATACTTACTAATAAAATGCATGCATGTTTGTACGTTACTTCAGTTAGGTAATTCTGTCTTCTAGCATATAAGTAACAGAATGTTTAATACGTGCCGTACCGTATGGTGCGCATAAAATTGATTCTCCCCATGTGCGACAGGAGAGATATATCTGCACTTTCGTTCACGTTGCGTTCATTCACATCGGCAACATAAATGTTATTAACAACGTTGTCGTATTTTTTTTGAGGAATCACCATGTTTTTGCGACTCACATTTTTCAAATTATTAAATTATTTAGTCCAATTACATTACATGTAGGAGATATGGGTTTTGCGTTCCTTTATTTAGTTAGATATTCACCATGGACGAATTAGATATGATTAATTCGGTGGAATTTGACAGATTATTTTGAGCAGTCAGTTTAGGTTAAATCTCGGTTTTTTGAAACTCGTATTCTAGACCAATGAGGACATGTTAGTATTATTGGTTTAGAAAACAGTAAAATCCATGTTTTATATCAGACAAGATCGCATGTGTGATACGTACGTATATACATTGCAGACTATCTTACTAGGCTTTTTTAAGTTTGCTCAATAACTTGATGAAAAGACCATTGGCTATCATTTGTTCTATTAATATGACAATAGTTTTATGGGAAAATTCGATGTAAACCTTATCGTTATTTCCCATTTTCCTATATAATGAGTCTACATATTTAGTAATGCGAATCTTTTTTATCATCAGATATTTATCACAATTTATAATAGGTGTCGTTAGAAGGCAATTCAATAGAATGCGTGTTCCGTTGTGTCCGAGTTGGGGGCCTGTCTCAGTTCGGAACCCAATCACTCAGTCCAGAACTGAGACAGGTCCCCAACTGAGGTACAGCGTTTCCACTTGATAAAAACAATCGTAATACAACGAGAATATCCACGGGACAATAAGCAGCTATTCTTAATCGATATATGGATAGTGGTTCACAACTATATAGATAATTACCAGGGAACAAATCATTAATAATGTATTTCAGAATATAAAGAACTACAAAAAAGAACAATTAAGGAACATGAACATACACACTTTTAACGAATAGTTGAGCTGCTTATATATCTAAAAGTGTTGCACTTTTAATGTCTATTTTTATGTGCGCAGAATCGAGGGAGGAATATACGTCATTATCGTACGTTACGTGTATACCAGTCTTTTCTCGAAATTTTCTCTAAGCAGGGAAATCCACAAATTGGTTTAATATTAATTTTATTGGACTTTGTGGTCCAAAGATCTAGGGCAACCGTAATTGTTTAGAAAAGCCCAGAGTCTTATTTCTCGAAAAAACGACCTTATGAAAACCAAGAATCTGACAGCGTTTACTTTCAGTCAATTCAGCAGTTCTATATTGATGTGTTTGTAGTTTTGGACAACTCTAACTTTTTTTGTAAATGACGCGTAACTTACTATGTACATTATGTTTACCATGCTAGTGCTAGGCTACAACACAAATTAAAACTAAAGGGTCCGACACTTTCTTCAGGGGACTGTATATTTATATGTGTAACTAATCAACTACCATTTCATCAAACTACAGCTATATAATGATACATTTAATTTAGTTCAAAAAGTACAAGCAATCAGATATCTGCATTATCGCTGCTTACATGGCAAATACAGACCACAAATTTTCGAATTATTATTTTCGTGTCTTACTGGTAATTTCAAGGATTTTTGTAGGGGGTAAATTCATACTAGATTCACACCTATTGTTTCATCAGCATTTATACACGTACTTTCCGTTTCATCAATATTCTCACATCTACCAAGTTACAAATTTCCAATTGAACTGTCGCTGTTAAAGTTGCCAAATCCTATGGTACCTCATCAGTGCAGTAAGATACATTTCTGGTTAAAGACAGTACTAATACAAAGACACATGTTTTTACAAAATAAAAATTGATTTTGAGATTTAAAGCATAAGGGATAATTTGGCAAATTCGGATTTATTACAAAAAATTCACTTTTTATTTTTCTATTTCCGTCTATTTTGGCAATCATTTTATTCCTCTCGCCTTTTTGAGCCTCGATTTTCATTAAGTGTATGCTATACTAGCTAGTATTGTCTAATCCCTCTTCTTTGTAACAGTCAGTAATCTCTTTTTCACCGACTGTTATACGACTGTTACGACTGTTATCGTCTCGTCATACGTTTTATGTCACACTTTTTAGTTTTAATACTCTATGTTGGTGATACGTCACACTCTGAGGCGTAGTAAAACCATACGTCTAAAACGAGTATATGTATGAAAGAGCCCAGGGAATTTCATGTTAAAGAAGCTTTTTTCCCGTTAATCTAGCATTTGTACAATGTATGTACCTCGTAAAACGTCGTAGATTTATAGAATGAAAACGCGTAATGGACACGTATTATACATAACGTACCGTTCTGCATGTAATTATATAGTCGGAAAATGCTTTAATAAAGTATAATTGTAGTGACTATACACGTAAATCTTCTTGTTTTTATTCCATTATCGACAATTTATAACAATGCTGAAGTTTGCCAAATTACCCCTGTCTAACTTATGCAAACGCATGTTTACAATTGTAACCATTTTTACAGCCATCGAATCGTTATAGGCAAATGACACCGTTAATGGGATGAGCCGTAACTGTTTTGTACAATATATCGTCCAGCAGTGGCAACAACTTCTTTTTTATCGACCCAGGTTTTCCCGAGACATTTAACAGTACGACAAAGGAGATTGGGAAAAGCGTGCGTCGTATAAATCTTGGTATCTGAGTTATCCTTGCATATTGGTGGCGCGGATTTCATCATTAGAATTGGCTCGATTCTTTGAATTTCTGGAGATATATATATATATATATTATTGATATATGGGGCATGCTGCAACAAAACCAGACAAAGTGAACATTCTATTATGTGACATAAATGAGATGCTGGTGTGGCTGTAAATTGGCTAAAATGACTGATAAATTTTAGATCCTGTATTAATAATGTAACTGGTTGAGGTAAGCAGTTATCATTATACCAGCAATACAGTATATTTCATATATGAAACTAATCAATATTAAATCCACTATGGAACCAAAAAATTACTGCATTATTGTGTTACGGTCGGGTGGTCTGGGGTTTGGGAGAGCAATTAATCTTTCGCGTAGGGGTGCTCTTCTGACCGGGGGATGTTACCAGATTAGCTTTGTGCTACCGCGCCTTAATACGGTAGTTGTTCAATTAAGACTGAATTCTAATCTACAAGTGACCTATTTATATAATTAAATTAAATGCG